TAGACGTCAAACAATCCACCCCCAGAATACCCACCCCGACACGCGAAGTCGTTTAGTAAACGCGCCCACAGAAGGAATCGAATAAGGCAGGGCTGTTTAGTAAACGCCCAAGGCCATTTAGTAAACGCCAATTGTCCGGTCCGGGTGGTTTTTCCTCCCTTGAGCCTGGCGTTCGGGTCGTACTGCGGGCCGCCGCTTAGGACGATTCGGTTCCCCTGGACAGCGATCGGCGAGGCGCGGCGGTCCCGAGGCCAGTCTGTCACTCTAAATCCTTTATTAATCGTCCCCCGGGTCTGGTTTTTGAAGGCGCCTTTTTTGTAGTTGGGGGAGTCCGGTTCATCGGGGCGCTCTCTTTGGATTGGAGCTGAAGGGATCCGGTTTATCAAGGCGCCCCGTCGAAGAGGGGGGTCCGGAATATTAGGTCGCATTTGGAGGGGGGTCTGGTTTTTTAGGGGGTGGTCGGTTAATAAGGGATTTGGAATAATTACCTGAAACCTTTGCTTGCGTGAGGGGATATGGGGAAACCCAGAAATACGGGTACCGCTACCCCAGGCCTCTCCCGCGGGGCATTCTGACCAGAATTTCGAGGCGCATCCGGCGGTGGCGACGCGGGCCCCGCAGGAGGCAAACAACAAGTTTAATTACTCGGCGCGGAGATCCCCAAATGTGCATCCCATGCGCCAGCTACATCGCGGCAGCCGTTTGTCTGTGTGTGTGTGTGTGAGCCTTGGCGCGAGTGGATCCGAGCGTGGGTGATCTGAGTGTAAGCGAGTCGGGGTGCGAGTGGATTTGGGTATGATCGAGCCTGAGTGTGAGTGAGTCTGGATATAGTCAGTGTGAGTACGAGTGGGACTGAGTATGAGTGAGTCTGAGTGCGAGTGGGTCTAGGTGTGAATGAGTCCGAGTGTGGGTAAGCCTGAGCTTGCCTGCGCCTCGCCTCATGCAGTTGTCAATATTTTCCGAAAGCAGAGGATGCTGGGCACGCAAACAGGCAAATCGCCTGAGCCGTCCCCACAATCTGGGCGCGAACGGGCCCGTGAGATACGGTGCTGAAGCTAGCGCCTAGCCTGAGACATCCTCACAGCCTAAGACATCATCATCATCATCATCATCATCATCATCATCATCATCATCATCATCACCATCATCATCATCATCATCATCATCATCATCATCATCATCATCATCATCATCATCATCATCATCATCATCATCATCATCATCATCATCATCAGCATCAGCATCATCATCATCATCATCATCATCATCATCATCATCATCACCAGCATCATCATCACCATCATCATCATCACCATCATCATCATCAGCATCAGCAGCAGCATCATCATTATTACGCAGCCATTTTTTCAGACAGGTGAAGGCGAACGCCGACTTTGGGGCTCCCAAGTCCCCAACTGAACGTGGCAACACGGTGACGACGTGTCATCGTGTGCTTTGATCCTTGGGGTGCCCAGTCTGTGGAGTTCCTCTTGCCATTCTCCCCGCGGCAAGAGTGCATGGCGCTGCTACGCCCACTCTCTGGCGTGCCGCTCGCGGCGCCTGCTGGCACATGGGGTGCCCAAGTGCCACGCCAGCTACATCGCGGTAGCCGTTTGTGTGTGTGTGTGTGAGCCTTGGCGCGAGTGGATCCGAGCGTGGGTGATCTGAGTGTAAGCGAGTCGGGGTGCGAGTGGATCTGGGTATGATCGAGCCTGAGTGTGAGTGAGTCTGGATATAGTCAGTGTGAGTACGAGTGCGGCGAGTCTGAGTGCGAGTGGGTCTGGGTGTGAATGAGTCCGAGTGTGGGTAAGCCTGAGCTTGCCTGCGCCTCGCCTGATGCATTTTTTCAATAGTTGCCGAGAGCAGAGGATGCTGGGCACGCAAGCAAACAAACCGCCTGAGCAATCCCCACAATCTGGGCGCGAACGGGACCGTGAGATGCGGTAATGAAGCTAGCGCCTAGCCTGAGACATCCTCACAGCCTGAGACATCATCATCATCATCATCATCATCATCATCATCAGCAGCATCAGCAGCATCAGCAGCATCAGCATCAGCATCAGCATCATCATCATCATCATCATCATCATCATCATCATCATCATCATCCTCATCCTCATCCTCATCCTCATCCTCATCCTCATCCTCATCCTCCTCATCACCATCATCATCATCATCATCATCATCAGCATCATCATCCTCATCAGTCTTATTATGATGCAGCCATTTTTCAGACAGGTGAGGGCGAAGGCCGACTTTGGGGCTCCCAAGTCCCCAACTGAACGTGGCAAAACGGTGACAACGTGTCATCGTGTGCTTTGATCCTTGGGGTGCCCAGTCTGTGGAGTTCCTCTTGCCATTCTCCCCGCGGCAAGAGTGCATGGCGCTGCTACGCCCACTCTCTGGCGTGCCGCTCGCGGCGCCTGCTGGCACATGGGGTGCCCAAGTGCCACGCAAGCTACATCGCGGTAGCCGTTTGTGTGAGTGAGCCTTGGCGCGAGTGGATCCGAGCGTGGGTGATTTGAGTGTAAGCGAGTCGGGGTGCGAATGGACCTGGGTATGATCGAGCCTGAGTGTGAGTGAGTCTGGATATAGTCAGTGTGAGTACGAGTGGGGCTGAGTATGAGTCTGGGTGCGACTGGGTCTGGGTGTGAATGAGTCCGAGTGTGGGTACGCCTGAGCTTGCCTGCGCCTCGCCTGATGCAGTTGTCAATGTTTTCCGAAAGCAGAGGATGCTGGGCACGCAACCAGGCAAACCGCCTGAGCCGTCCCCACAATCTGGGCGCGAACGGGCCCGTGAGATACGGTGCTGAAGCTAGCGCCTAGCCTGAGACATCCTCACCGCCTGAGACATCATCATCATCATCATCAGCATCAGCAGCAGCATCATCATTATTACGCAGCCATTTTTTCAGACAGGTTAGGGCGAAGGCCGACTTTGGGGCTCCCAAGTCCCCAACTGAACGTGGCAAAACGGTGACGACGTGTCATCGTGTGCTTTGATCCTTGGGGTGCCCAGTCTGTGGAGTTCCTCGTGCCATTCTCCCCGCGGCAAGAGTGCATGGCGCTGCTACGCCCACTCTCTGGCGTGCCGCTCGCGGCGCCTGCTGGCACATGGGGTGCCCAAGTGCCACGCAAGCTACATCGCGGTAGCCGTTTGTGTGAGTGAGCCTTGGCGCGAGTGGATCCGAGCGTGGGTGATTTGAGTGTAAGCGAGTCGGGGTGCGAATGGACCTGGGTATGATCGAGCCTGAGTGTGAGTGAGTCTGGATATAGTCAGTGTGAGTACGAGTGGGGCTGAGTATGAGTCTGGGTGCGACTGGGTCTGGGTGTGAATGAGTCCGAGTGTGGGTACGCCTGAGCTTGCCTGCGCCTCGCCTGATGCAGTTGTCAATGTTTTCCGAAAGCAGAGGATGCTGGGCACGCAACCAGGCAAACCGCCTGAGCCGTCCCCACAATCTGGGCGCGAACGGGCCCGTGAGATACGGTGCTGAAGCTAGCGCCTAGCCTGAGACATCCTCACCGCCTGAGACATCATCACCATCATCATCATCATCAGCATCAGCAGCAGCATCATCATTATTACGCGGCCATTTTTTCAGACAGGTGAGGGCGAAGGCCGACTTTGGGGCTCCCAAGTCCCCAACTGAACGTGGCAAAAAGGTGACGAGGTGTCATCGCGTGCGTTGATCCTTGGGGTGCCCAGTCTGTGGAGTTCCTCTTGCCATTCCCCCCGCGGCAAGAGTGCATGGCGCTGCTACGCCCACTCTCTGGCGTGCCGCTCGCGGCGCCTGCTGGCACATGGGGTGCCCAAGTGCCACGCCAGCTACATCGCGGTAGCCGTTTGCGTGTGTGTGTGTGTGTGAATGTGTGTGTGTGTGCGTGTGTGTGTGTGTGTGTGTGCGTGTGTGTGCGTGTGTGAGCCGTGGCGCGAGTGGATCCGAGCGTGGGTGATCTGAGTGTAAGCGAGTCGGGGTGCGAGTGGATCTGGGTATGATCGAGCCTGAGTGTGAGTGAATCTGAATATAGTCAGTGTGCGTACGAGTGGGGCTGAGTATGAGTGAGTCTGAATGCGAGTGGGTCTGGGTGTGAATGATTTTTTGTTGGTTTTTTTCAACCAGCGCGATGATATGACATGTGCGTGACGTGGCGTGTCATATCTCTGCAGATTTCCGCAGTGCCCTCCAGGGGCCTCTTTCCCGGCCATTGGCTATTGGCACCAGCACGCGAGCGGCGGCCAACGCAGAAAACTGCGGACCTGAAACTTCGAACTGCCGCCGCCTCCACGGATAGAAAAAACAAAAGGCGACAAGCACGACCTAAACAGTCGTGTGCGTACGGTGATCCGCTTCCCCTCATGGGGGCCATAGCCGCTCCCATCGATGAGCCAGGGCCGGCCGAGTAAACGTCACCACATTCAGGGGGGAGGAAGAGGAAGAGGAAAAGGAGGAGGAGAGGAAGGACGAGGAGGGAGGGAGGGAGGATACCTGCACCAATCAGGAGCTGCTTTTCGCCACAGCTTAGGAGAACACTCTCCCAACAAAATGTGGCTGTTTTCCCGCCGATGGCCCACGCAGTACCTGGACCGGAGTGGGGAAAGCAGGCGAAGATGTGTTAGTACTTGTGCTTCAAACTTCGAACGCGCCAATGCAGGCGATTGCTTCCTGGACGGCTCCACAAGCGGCAAAGGAAAACAAATAGCACCTCGGGCGCACGCTGCGGCGCAGCCCTGCTGTGGTGAAGCGCGCGGTTTTAACGACGTTTGGGGAGGAACGCGCGGGAAGGGAGTCTGGACAAAAACGTTGTGCGGGCACCCCACATGACCTGGCCGGCCGTGTGTATAATACGCACAACAGCAACCAAGACACAGGCCGATACGAATTCACCCAAAATCGTATCACAGTAGCCGGGGAGCTGGGAGGAACGTAGGGGCCAAGAGAAACGTCAAAACGGCAGAAGACTGCGGGTGCAGCGAGTATTGGCTAAATGAAATAACGTAACATGCAACATGCACGGGCGGAGCGGGGGGGAAGGAGGGGGAGGGGGGAAGGAGGGAGAACATGACTGACCAGCACACCGATATCAACCAAGCGTTTCTTGCCACGCCACGGTAACTAGGGCAGCCAGCGACGGATGAGCTCCGCAGGCCTCGCGGCCATACTGCCACCAAGCGCCGGCCGCGTCCGCTGTAGTGTGGCGTCGCGCCGCGCAGGAGGCAGCATATGTGCAGCATGCGGCCAGGGCGCGACGAAGGGGTAGACGCAAGTGCTTGTAGCCTAGCTCCGCCAGGCAAGGGCATTGCGCGAAGTGCTGTAGACCGTCTTCGCCACGCGGACACCCGAAGGGGCAAGGTGCCCAACGTCCAAAACGGCGGGCGGTCGTCCAGCTGTCACACAAGGCCCTGCACAATGAAGCCCAGACCCTGGGGGGCACAGCCGGTGCAAGACCGCGCAGAACTGTCAACGCTCGGGGCAATCGACGACCTGGAAGGATGTGGAGGGGAAGGCGAGACAGGGCGCGTGACAGCTCACATGTGGTGCTCACTGGGCTCGGCGGCGTCAGCAGCTGGCGGCAGCGCCGTTGCCACTGCGACCGGGGGGTCGGAGTAGCAGAAACACCTTGGACCAGCAATGCGACGGAGGTGCCAGTCCCGGCGGCGCGGGCCTCGAGGCGATACTGCGCGCCCGCGAGATTCATGATGAAGTTGCCAGTGTACCACTCGTGCCAGGTGGCCAACTGCTGGAGGTTGTCCGAACCGCTAATCTTGTCCAGCAGCAAGCGCCGCCGGCGTGGGATGTGCAAGCTCCCTGTGGCGTCGGCCTCCCATCGGCGTACCCTGCGCTTGGCAGCGAGGGCTGTGGCGTGGGCATCGGGTAGCTGCGAAGGGAATCCCAACGAGCATAAATCACGCAAAGCGGCAGGTGACGTCCAGCACCGAGGCCCCGGGAACAGCAGCGCGCATGCCTTCTGCTCATACTCGGCCCAGTCCGGCGGCAGCCTGTCCAGCTGCATGAGGAAGCAAAGGGCGGGGAAGATGTAGACGCGGTAGGCGAGGATGGTGATGAGCATTCCTCCGCCCACGGCCCGCCATGTCCGTGCACGCGACATGTACTTCTGCAGCGGCTGCGTCCACGACGATTGCGCGCGCTCGGGCCCCACCTCGAAGCCCAAGTACGCGGCGTGCCGGCGCGCCGTCAACTCCCCCCAGGTGGGCGCTGCTGCGTGTAAGCGAGCTCTGACAATGTCCGACGGTGTCAAGGATAAGGGCACCCACGCGCTTGTCCCCCAGTGAAGCCGGAGCCCAGACAGCCGTTCCTACTCGTCGAAAGCGTGCTCGAGAATGGGCGCGCCCCGCGTGCTGTGGGCGAGGGCCACCGCGAGGTCGTCGGCGTAGGCGCGCTGGTTGGACTCTGGCACTAAGCGTGGCAGCCGACGTAACAGAACGTCCGACAGCACGGCAAAAAGCAGCGGTGAAAGAGGGCAGCCCTGCCGCACCCCCGCGGTGAGCTCGAAGCCCTCGAACGTGGCGCCCTGGACAATGATCTGGCATCGGTTGTAGCGGTAGAGGGCCTTGACCAAAGTGATGCACCAATCCGGCCAGCCACGGGCCACCAGCACGCCCATGAGAAACTCCTGGCTGACGGAGGGGAAGGCGGCCTCGAAGTCTAAAAAGATGGCCGCCGCGTCCTCGTAGCCCAATGAGAAATTCAACATGGTCTCGTCGATGTCTACGAGGTTCGCCAACATGGAGCGGCCCTGTAGGAAGCCGCGCTGGGAGTCGGAGATTCCCGGAGCGACGCTGGCTCGATCCACAGGCGCACCGCACTGGCGATGATCCTGTTGTCCGCGTTGGTGATGTTGAGAGGCCGCGTATTTGGAGGCCTGTAGAAGTCCAAGCCGTCCGGGGTAGCGCCACTCAGCTTTTTCGGCAAGAACACCATGGAACTCTCATTGAAGTCGTCCCAGTCCGTCTCCAGGAGGCTCAAACCGTCGGTGCTCACCATGGCAACAACAAACAACAGCATCGCACAGAGCACGGGCGGCAAACTCTCCCAATTTTCGCCACGCTCGGGATGGTATACCATCGGGGCCTGGAGAGCTGTTCTTGGTGTGCCGGATGGCGCGTTCGAAACAATCGAACGGAACGATGTCACCAGGCACGTGTTGCCTATCCACAGCTGGGAAGTGCGCCGCTTCGTCCGCGAGTCATTCTCGCCGCAGCGTTTCGTCGGTGCCCTTGCGGCTGAAGACTCTCGACCAATGGCTCCGGAGAGCCTAGGCGATGTGGGAGGGGTCGGTGCTCGCATGGCCAGCGCTGTCGCTGACGGCGTAGTTGGCGCGCCCTCGGCCGGGGGCCAGACGGGCAAGCAGGCGGTGGTTGCGTTGCCGACGTCGGGAGGCCTGGTCTGGCGTAAGTTCGGGGAGGTCGTTGTGCATCTGGCTGAGCTCGTCGACGGCATGGGGGCGGGCCAAGTCAACAGCATGCTGTCGGTTCAGCCGCAAGCGGCGACCCGTGTTGGAAGTAAAGTCGTAAGAATTGTCGACTAGGTCTTTGAGAGTGGGGTACCGCAGTATGCACTGGCTCACGCCCGTGGCGGAGCCGCGCTCCGACGAGCGGAGGAACTTCATGGTCGCGCCAAGCCTGTCCTCATGCGTGCAAGCGCCCGCAGTGGCGCCGAGGTTCAAACTCAGGCTGCGGGCAGCGCGGCGCGTGGCGGCCTCCAGGAGGACCAGCTGTCTCACCGGGGAGGCGTCGGGCTCATCCTTCAGCAAATCCTGCCATGCTAACGAAACTAATCGCGGCCACTCTGGATGTTCAAGCACCTGATCCAGGAGTGGCGAACGCATTTCTGCTGAGCGCTGGGGGACCTCGCGGCGAAAGCTGACGGGCCGGTGCCGGGATAGCTCTGGACACCATGCGAGTGCAGCACACATCATCGCCCGATGGAGCCCTTCTACCGCAGACTGGCTGGTGTAGAGCAGGTCGAGGCGCGAGCGAGAGGTTGGAGAGGCGTAAGACATGTCGGATTGATCAAGGTCGTGGAGCCCATGAAGTTGTGCAATTTGCCGCTGCCAGCTGGCCTCGTCGCTTCGGTCACGGCCGCCCGTGGTCGCGCCTGTGGTGGTGCAGCGACGGTCACCCGCCTCCGTGAAGTAATTGAAGTCGCCCCCGAGAATAGTGAGTACAGTATCTTGGGGGGCAATGTGCTCGGCGAGCCGGCGTCGAAGTGCCTCGCGGAGCTCCGCTGCCCAGGTGTGCGGGATAGATGTCCAAGTCCGGCGGCTTCAACATCATGCTGCGCGACGGTGGCGCCCGTGTGGAAGTAGGTGACGACGAGATCCAACGACCCTTGCAATCCACGAAGCTGGAGGGCCGCCGCTCGACCTCGAAGGAGGGTCTTCCACCGCGGAGGGTCGGTGAACTGCTGCAGGAAGGCGTTCTTGATCGTTATGCCGACCCCGGCGCTGCCCGCCACGTTGCAGCCAGGGGGATTGCGCCAAACGTCTCCGCTGCCCTCCGTGCCGTGCGTCTCCGTCCACAGGCCCACGTCGCGCGTGCGCATGAAGCGGAAAACGTGCTGGGTCTCTGTACGGTGGCGCAGGGGGTCAGCAGCAAATAGGGCTTGGCAGTTCCACGTGACCACTGACACGGCGCCTGAGTAGGGGCTCCGGCTCGCGCCGCGTTGCCGCCCTGGCCCAGCAGCTGGCGCGGGGGGCGGCGGCGGCGGCGGCGGCGGTGCCCTCATCGTGAAAGGGCCGGCGCCTCATGGACGAAGGAACCTCATGGACGAAGGAACGTCAGTAGAGTTGTCGATGGTGTCGTAACCTGCGCCGTCATTAGGAAGAATACGACGCAGCGGCATAGCCGGAAGGCGTGACACGGGGCTGCTGGAAGAGCGTTCCCCGCATGGCGAAAAGCTGGTCGGTCGCGAAGGCGTGCTGGTAGCCAGAGTCGGGGAATAAGGAGAAGTCAGCGAAGCGGAAAAAGAAATTGGCCCCATCGCTGGCGAAGTCCGGGAAGTCGAAACCGAGGAAAAAGTATAAGATGAATTCGAATCAGAAACGTGTCCACCACGCCGGAGGGAGCGCGGCACGAAACGCCCGTCTCGCCGGCGGGCGGGAGGAGCGAGAAGGCGACGTCCATGATCCAGCAGGAGGTACCCGCACTGGTAAAGCATTGAATTCCCAAGGCGGCCAGGGCCGCGGTAGAGGCGGCTAGCTGCGGGCGGGGGGGGCGGCCCCCGGCCCCCCCCTGCAACCTGTTTCCCGCCGGGCCACGGGGTGCGGCCACGTCGTTCGACACCGTGATGGACAGGTGGTCGGTGCCGACCTGGAGAACGTGCCCATGGAGTGCGCGGTGGACCTTCTGCGCCTCCTCCGCGGACTGCAAGAAAAGCCGCGCGCGCCCACGAGGGGCAGTAGCGCCGCTGGCCGCCGCGTCGATCCACTGGCCTGGCACGGGGGCCTGCCCAGCAGGCGCCTGGCTGATAGCCAGCCCTGTGGCCGAGGTGACGTGATTCATCAAGGATCTCAACACCGTGCTCCCGTTGTCGCCCGTTTCGCCAACGATGGTGAACTCCGCGACGTGATCCGCCATGTCTCCTGGCCGCTGAGGGCGCCCACGACGACGCCGGGGGGCCGCAAGAGCGGCGGGGGTGGCGGAGGGTGAAGCCCACGGGCGGCCTCCGAAGCGACTGGGCTTCCACTTGATCTTGGTGATCGCCTGCTCGGTGTCCTCCGCGAGTGACTGGTCAAGAATAGGCTTCCAGGACTCCTCCGAGGCGGCAGAGAAGATGGGCATGCGGTCAGTGGACAAGAAGACTGCCTGCGAGCACAACGGCCACGCCTTGCACAGCGCCAGCGGGCCACTGCACTCCATGATCAACGCGTCAGGCGACGTGTACAAGTCCCGGTGACCTGTGCACATGTTCGCCGTCATCGCCCGGCGCCGCAAAAACCGGATAACCAGAAAGACATTGGCCTCCGACGTGGAGCTCGGCAGGAGCACCTTGACCATGCTGCGGCGAACTGCTGGGGAACTCCCTGGGCTACGCGAAACCCCTCTCGGTCGGAATGTCAAAGCGTAGTTCTGGATCTCGGTGCCGTGGAGGTCGCGCATGAGGGCGGGGAGGGAGTCCGTGGGAAGGTCGATCCAGAGGGAGTTCACCGCGGGGAGGGCGAGCAACGGGGTGAGCGGCGTGTGCACCGTCGGGTTGCCGCGCGGACCCTCTGTGCAGATGGTGAAACGTGCAAGGCCTTGACGCACGTGGCGTGGAGCCGCATGGCCGGGCAAGATGCACTCCACCGGCTGGATAATCAAATCAACATGCTTCGCCAAAGCGACCACCGACGCGGCTCCACCAAGGAGAGGGTGCCACCACAGATCGAAGACCTTTGCTGGGGTGTCGACGCCCGGGCAGTGTGGGAGAGGCGCCAGAAACGTTAGGCTGCGGGGGCGAAGAGCAGCATCAGGTTGCCGAAGTAGGTCGGTTAGCAGCCTCATCAGTGAGCTGGTCTGTCGGGGCCCACGCCACAATACGACGGCCCCCCATGGCCGCTAATGCGCGGCTGTCGCCCTTCTCGAGGAGAGCGGCCAGGTCGCGGTGTTGCTTGACGACGGTACTGTGGTCAGTGCCAGCGTCGGCCAGCAATTTGGACCACTGGGTGGCCATCTCCGCACCGTTGCACGCAGGGGTGTTTCGTGCAGCCTGATGAGCCGCGGCGCCGAGCTCCTTCCACCGTGGGAGCTGCGAGGGACGTAAACGCCGTCGCTGGCGGAGGACCTCGTGCAGTTGCTCCTCGCAGCGTTCTCCAGCCGTCCAGAATGCCGTAGTCGCGGCCTCTGCGAGCGCCTTGTCCGAGTTGTCCCAATCGGCGCTCTGGCCTAAGGAGCAGAGGGTAATCACCGTCGTAGTGCGCGAGACTATGCAATGCTCCGTGGGCTCAGGGCCGTCGAGTGGGCCGAACCCCAAGATGTGCCAGGGGTCGGTGGCCTGATGGTTGAAAGCGAGCTTGAGGAGGATGGAGTGGAGGTCATCACACTTGGCAAGAATCTTAATCTCGACGTTCTGCTGATCCGTCGGCCGCGTCTGGCTGCTGGCCCGCACGAGCCCCATGTGCCGTGCGATTTCGTCCTCCACGAAGTCCTGCAAGGACGCGTCGGGGATGAGGCCAGTGCTGGACAAACCTGGGAGGGTAGCGATGGCGCCAGCAACGACAGAGGCCAGCTGGATGTCGATGTGGACGCCAACCAGGCCCTGAGAGAGGCCAGATTGAGAGTCGCCGGCATCCACCTGCATAGTGGCCGGGCCGCCGCTGGATGTCTGCGACGGGTCCACTGGCGGCGCAGTGGGTGCGAGCGACGCGGAAGAGCTCCCGCGAGAAGCCATCGGGTCGGTCGGTGCGACGTCGTCAGGGATCCCCGTGAGCAGGGTGGCTGGTCCACCCCCTCGGAGGCGGGCCACCAAATGCAGCGTGGCATACCTCTGGATGTTGTAATCCGTGAGCGTGCGGGTGTCCTCTAGCTGCTTATTGGAATCCATCAGCCGTTGCTGGTCTGGGGGAATGCCCTCAATGTCCTGGATAATCTTCTTCACGGTGTTGATGGAATAGCTGGCCTCCACGTTGAATCTAATTGTCCCCCCCGTGAGGGTCTTTGTAAAAATCGGCATGCTCCCGCGGTCTTTGTGGAAGTCCTCATGGTCGGTGTGAGGTTCCTCGTGGTCGTCGTGGAAGTCCTCGTGGAAGTCCTTGCGGTTGTCGTGGAAGATCATGGTGCTCGTGCCGACGATCGCGGCAAGTTCTCCGGAGATCTTGAGAAGTTCCCCGAAGATCGCGCAACTCATGCTGACGATCTTGAAATGCTTCGCGAAGCTCGTAAAAAAACACCACGAGGATCGTGACACTGATGCTGAAGACCTTGAAGTGCTTCACGATGACCGCGAGGTACACCACGAAGATCTGGAAACCCCTGTCGGAGATCGCGCAGTGCTCCACGATGGACGCGTCCGTGGACAGTGACGCGAAATCCTCATGGGCATTGTCGTAGTCGTCTGTCGCCTGCACCTGTCCTGAGGCAGGGTGTTTCCTGATAGAAATGTCCAAACAAGTTGACTCGGAACCTCCGTCTCCTCTGGGTCCTCCACCTGGTCCTGTCATGTCTTCGGCCTGGTCCTCCTCGTCCTGATCCTTCCTGGCCTCGGACTGGTCCTGCTCTTGGTCCTCCACCTCGTCCTCCTGGCCTACATGGGCTACCTCGTCATGATTACAATCCTCCTTCGGCTGGCTCTCCCGGTCCTCCTCCGGGTCCTCCGCTAGGACATGACACTCGTGTTCCTTCTGCCAGTCAACGCGGTCGGCGTAGTCGATGCGGTCGTCGACGTGGTCGTCGTGGTCGACGTGGTCTTGGTCGTGACCAGCGCTGTAATCATGGCCATGGTGGTAGCCGAGGTCGGACCGGGCAGCCATAGCCTCAGCAGAGAGCGGCATGGCGGGCGCGCCTGGGGAATGAAACCCCGTACGGTACACGAAGACTGGTGACTGGTCGCGCGCGCGTGCTAGCTTGCCTTGAGCCACGCTCGGGCTTGAGCCAGGGTCTGGGTGTGAATGAGTCCGAGTGTGGGTAAGCCTGAGCTTGCCTGCGCCTCGCCTGATGCATGTTTCAATAGTTTCCGAAAGCAGAGGATGCTGGGCACGCAACCAGGCAAACCGCCTGAGCCGTCCCCACAATCTGGGCGCGAACGGGCCCGTGAGATACGGTACTATGAAGCTAGCGCGTAGCCTGAGACACCCTCACAGCCTGAGACATCCTCACAGCCCGAGACAGCATCATCATCATCATCATCATCATCATCATCAGCAGCATCATTGGGGAGGGCGTAACTTGCAGGGTTGGGGGTCGCGACCCCCAGTTTGAGCGGACTCCGCTCATGTCCAAAGCGACCCGAACCGCATAGGAAACCATCGTTCGAACGCAAAGCAAAACCTCTTCTCCTTCTCCTTCTCCTCCGTCTCCGTTTACTCATTCTCTCATCCCTATCCTCTGCCACCTCCACCTCCCGCCTCCATTGCCTCGCCCTTCGCCGCGGCCTCGGCGGCGGCGGCGCGGCCGCTGCGGCGCGGCGGCGGCGGCCAAGGCGCCCCCGGCCGGCCGGCCGGCTGAGGGGGCGAAGGAGGAGGGGGGGGATGGGGGAAGCAGAGAGGGGAGGAGGGCGAGGAGGATGGGAGGGGGGGGAGGAGGAGGGGGAAGAGGGGGAGGAAGGGGAGGAGGGTGCGTAAAGGGGGCAGAAAGAAGGGGACAGCGTAGCAGCGTAGATGGATTCGACGCACAGGAATGCATGTTTTTTCATATCTGATCCTCGCTGGCCACGTGAATCGCATTGTTTTGCACCGTGACAGCGTGACAGTCGAACGCTCGAAATGAAAAAGCAAGCCCCGAAGCAAACGCATCTCGAGCGAGGGCCCATGGACTTCCGCAGCAGCCCCAAGCAGGCGCGAGTCCAGGGCCAGCAGATCCTACCTACTGTCACGTTCAAGCTGCAAGCTAAAGTTGGCGCTCGAGGAGAAGGAGGAGGAGAACTCTTGAGGGGGGGGAGGAGGGGGGGGATGGGGACGCGGAGGAGAAGGAGGAAGAGAGGAGGGGGAGGAGGGAGGAGGGAGGAGGAGGAGGAGGAGGAGGAGGAGGGATGAGGAGGAGGAGGAGGAGGGGGAGGAGGAGGAGGAGGAGTAGGAGGCGGAGGAGGCGGAGGAGCGCTAGGGCAGCGCAGCGCGTGCAAAAGTGCACCAATATTAACAACTGCCATACATGCCAAAATGGCAAACGGTACTCGCAGCATTCTGACTCTCCCTCCCCATCATGTCCTCTCCTCCTCTCCTCCCTTCCTGGCCTCCTTCATGAGGGCGCGGCTAGCGACAGCAAGCTTACTTCAAGATGTGCTTCGCTGCCTTGCCCTCATCGGAACCACAGCCGCCGCCTGCTTCGGGGGCCTTCTCCTCCGTGAGCTCAGGGCGCGCGAGCTCCACATAGAAGTGCTTCAGCTCGGGGGCGTTGGGAACAGCCTTCCCCTCCTTCACGGCCTTCTGCCGAACCTTCTCGTGGTTCTCGGCCATCTCGATCCTCTTATGCTTGATCAGCGACTTGATGTAGGCCATGTCTGGCACCAACGTCATCACCGACAGCTTGGCGCCGCAAACCTCGACGCAGACGGGCTCAAACATCATGATCGGTCCGACTGGTGCAGCAGCCGAGCCAGTCCGACCCCTCTTCGTCGACGCCTCCTTGATGGCCCGCAAAGACCAAGCCGGCACGAAAGCAGCTGCTGTTGGTGAACACATGCTCGCCGTAGTCGTGACCATCACGTGGAATTTCTTGCACTTGCCAACCGTGCACGTGTTGGGCGAGCGGCGCAGCACACCGACCAAGGATGTAGATACCGTCCCAACCAGCGCGAGCTTGATGCTCTCAAGCTCGAGGCGAAGCAAGTCGACGAACGCTCGCCGCGAGCCAGCTGGATTCTTCTTCTGCTTCGCGGGGTCCTTCGTCATTAAGATGTCGAGGCCGACGTCTTTCAGCTCTGCGGCAGCGCCTTCGCCAGACCTCCAGCCCTCCAGCAGTTCAGCAGTAGCCTTGGCTGCGAAGACCTGCGCAGCCCAAGCCTCGTCAATCGCGCTCGGTTGGGCAGTGATGAGCTTGATGAAACCTGCGTTGTGCTCATCGGCTGCTCCACCATCCACAATGCCAGCGGCGCCGCCTTCCTGCTCGTCCTCAGGCACCGGCACTGCGTAGGCACTCTTGATGGCGTCAGTCGTCTCCCTCTCCCTTGACCTTGGGCATGTTGGACAACAGCTGAATGATTTCCTGCTCCATTTTCGAACCAGCAGCCCAGACCGACTCATCGTCGCACATGCAAGCGTCAACTGCGACCAATGCTGATACGGAAACGATAGATGTCCACAGTCGAGTCCACATCACGCCGTCGTGACACTGAGCATCATTCGCAGCAATCTCAGCAATGTATTTGGCGACGGTCGACTTCGCATTTTCGAAGATGACGGCCCACTCGCACATGCTCTGCCGAGCCTCAGGGTCCGAATCCGACTGGGCAACAGCAGCCTGGAAGACGTTGGCACCCTCCTCCAACAGCATGCACATGAACTGCGCACGGTAACTCATGAACGTTTCTGTTGGATTTCCAATTCGCTCTATGGCCAAGACCTTCCCGAGAATGTCGATGACACTCTTAGCATCGGGGTCAGGCTGAGCTCGGTCTGGTGTTTCTCCTCATCGACGGTGTAGGCGCTGAGCTATAGCTTCATCAAAGCGTGATCAAAGCAGAGCGGCATGCAATCCTTCTCGATGATCTCCACGATGCATGCTGCAAGCGACGAACGTGACACCGACGCGGCAGACGTCATAGCAGCGTGCGTCTCTGGTGACATGAACACATCCCAGAACTTGCCGACGGCCGAGGTCACCTGAGGCGATGTGCGGCGCATGACGACCAAGGATGTCGGCTTGGAAAGTTTGTCAACGAGAGACTTCAAACGATCGAGGAGCTTCTTGTCTGCCTGCAGGAGTTGCGCCATGCTGCTGACTGGATTTGATGGGTCGATGGTCACATCTTGCGACTCTGTGCTTCCCTCCTGCTGGTAGTCCGCCGTTGGGGCGTTGTCGGGGTCGGCGGATACGTGGGCCATGCCGTTAATCCCGAGCGCGTCCACGAGTTGCTTCTTGACGTACTTCCTCAAGGAGGACCAAGTAGTCATGGATGTTTTGGTTTGCTTCCCGCCCTTCTCCGTATCGATCTGCACTTTGCCAGCCACGCCGAACTCAACGCAGGTCATCATCATCTTGTCGACGAACTTATCCTGCTCCTGGATCTTAGAAGGATCAACGCCCTGCAGAGTGTATTGAATTGCATTGCGAGCGTCATCGAGGAACACCGTGGCTCTCCCCTCCGTCGTGAAACTGAAGACCTCGGGCTTAGGCTCGGCGACGACGCCAGGTTTGGCAGCGGCCCCCTTCTTAGCGCGCTTCTTCGGCGCTGCCTTGGCGACTGGTGCCGGCGGAAGTGGAGCCAGGGACGGCTGAAATACTTTGGATTCCTTCATCTGTGAGAGCAGGTACGGCACCCTCTTCAGAACGTCCTGACGTGACTTCAGCACCCAGTCGACCCCGTCGTCCGTCGGGATGGCCAAGCGAAGCACCATCATCACGTAAGGCCTCAGGTTCTCGTTCTTGAGTTGGTCGCGGAGCTTCGTGAGGACCCAATCGTTGATGGCGAGAATGGTGCCATGGTCGAGCGAAGGGTGGCTGAATACACAGTGTTGGTCCACGTAGTTCTCGTATGCTTCGAACAAGCCGTGCATGTCCATCTTGGTCTTGGCGCGCTTGGCCTGGGAGTAGACGTTGTAGTTGCTGAACAACTCGCTGTGGTGCTTTTCCAAGTACCGGCCGTAGTGGTAGGCGTAGGATCGCTTGTCCTCCTCGCCTTCGACGACGGCGTCTGGGTTAGCGGAGGCAGCAGCACCAGCATCCGCATCCAGCCTGCAGTGTTCTCGCCAACCCTCGCCCACGTCACCCACGGCGTGGTGCAGCTCGAGAAAGGACGTATCGGCACCGATCTTGTTCCAGCGGTTGTTCTCCACCTGGGTAGGACACGCAAAGTACGCTTGCTTGCGCTACGTTGCGTCAGGCGGCCCCACAAAGACCTCTGGAAGCCCTCGTGCTCGGCCCTCGGCCTCGGAGACAGAGCACCCGCGGGAATCCAGAGATCTCCATGGAGCCGTCTGGCGCAACATGGCCCAAGCAAACGTACCGAACCGCAGCTCGACGATCATCGATTAGTCGACCGGTCGGTAGATCGACGAGTCCACGACTTGGCCCGATCCGATCGAGATCGAGATCACCGAATCGAGATCGAGATCGTCTGCTGCAAGATCGCAAGATCCGATCGAGATCGATTCGCGTCATGGAAGTGCGGTGGTTGACCCCGCGGACCTTGAATATCCTGAGCACGTCAGGTGGAGTCCGAGGGTCAATCACTGCGATGTTACTCCACCCGTAGGAAAGCGACTCGAGTACCATCTCCTCTGGCTACCAAGTGAGCAGCCCCAGGCCTTAAGATGTGTGAAGCTGGGCCCAGGGGCCTAGGGCCTGTGGGCAGTGATGCTGCGAGCTGTGAGCTGTGAGCAGGGCCCAGGGGCTCGTGGGCCTGGCGGAGCTTGCCGAAAGGCACATGAATCGTTGTGTGGTTCCAACTCGTGCGCGTCGTAGAGAGCCTCCGTTCGAGTGGCGTGCGACATCAACAACAATTTCCGATCTCCTCCGAATGATGTTGGTACTGCCAGGACCTCTCCCGCAATGCCTTGTTGGAGACCACCTTGTAAGATACCGTCGCGATACTGATTCCTGGTGACCACCTGGTTACGATCGTTCAGCTCATGTCTCGCGAAGTTCTTGTTGCCATCCTGGTCATAGAACTCGCAATGAACTCCAACC